CAGCAGCTGGGGAGACGGGGGCCGGGGGTAGGCGAGGGGTGGGGTGCCGGCGGGGAGACCCTGGGCCTGAGCCAGGAGCCAGGAGCGTGGAGGGCCCTGTGCAGGCGGGGCATCAGCTGCCCAGGAAACGGGAAACCCTCTCTCCCCTGTGACCCTGCGGTCCTGGGCTCTCCTTGTCTCCCTCTACGCGGGGCCACGGCCTCCATGTCGGTCTGCGCCCCTCCCTCTCTGCTCCCACCCCTGCCAGCCCCCCCCCATCCCACGGGAACACCCAGGCAGCCACGTCCTAGTGGGGAAGGCGGACAGGAGACTCCCAACCGAGCAGCAATCCTAGCTCCCACCTGCCAGACCCGAACCCCAAGAGCACCCGCCGCAGTCGGCCACCTCCCCACAACGAGGTGCCATGGCTTGGAGAGTGTCCGTCCCCCCAAATCCACATCCCCCAGAACCTCAGCAGGGCCCACACTGGGAACTCGGGTCTCTGCAGGTGAAGGTCCGAGGAGGCCCCTGGGTGGGCTCTGGACCCAGGGAGGCTCCTTATGAAGGAGGGGGATTCGGACACAGACGAGGGAAGACTGGGCTGCTGTGGTCACACCCAGGGGAGTGGTTCCCTGGGGCCCCCCGGGCTGTGCTGCGCCCCATCTGGTCCTGTCCACGGCAGAGCGGCATTCTGGGGTGGATGGGCCACGGGCTGTCTGTCCACCCCCCAGAGGACTCCGGGTGCTGCCCCTCTGGCTGTTAGGAGCAGAGCTGCGGGGAATACTGCGGGTTTTGGTGTGAACACGGGCCTCCATCTCCCTGGGGCAGCGCCCAGGTACCCCGCCGAGTCCGCCGGAGCTGCGGGCTGAGCGTGTTAGGAAGCTGCCACGCTGTTCCCTGGAGCGGCTGCGCCATTTACATTCCCACCAGCCGCCCGCCAGGGCACCGGCTCCTCCACGCGCTGGGCGTCGCTGGTCCCTATTTCAGCCGGCTGGCGGGCGTGCGGTGACAGCGCCTGGGTTCGTTTGCATTCCCGGGGCTGATGGTGCCGGGCCTGCTGCTCCGCCATCGCTCGGCCCCTGCGTGAAGCCCTCGTGCCCTTAGCTCACTGTCTGACGGGTTTGTTTCGTACCCCTGGGCTCTAACAGTCCTTTTTTTTTTTTAATTTTGAGAGAGAGGAAGGGAGAGGGCGAGAAACTGATGTGCGAGTGGAACATGGATCGGCTGCCTCCTGCACGCCCCCCACCAGGGAGCGAGCCGGCAACCTGGGAACCAAACCAGCGACCTTTCGGGGCCTCCCCAGCTGGGCCGGCGGCAGGGCTGACCGTCCTGGCAGGCCCTGGCTCCAGCCGAGCTGCGTGTGTGGCTGTGGTGCTTTCTCTGTCCTTCCTTCTCGGGCTCCCAACAGGGCCTTTCAGAGAGCGGCGCCTCAGGCTGACCAGGTCCACCGGTCCCACTGCCTTATGGTGGTGTGGGGCCAGCTCTGCCCCGCCCTGGGTCCCACCACGCCCCCTCTCCCCTAAAGGGCCGCCGTTTCCATCTCGCTCGGGCGTATGCAACCTGCTGAGCCGACTGCATCGGGCGTGAGGCCCTGGCTGAGCGTTGTCGTTATCGGATGTTCACTCGCTGACACACCCTCCCCGCGGAGGGCGGAAACCGGCCGGGCTACCGTGCGCCCGTGTCTGGTTCCCCGTCAGGGTGACTTTAACTCTTACACAGTCAGAGAGCTGGGACCTAATCCAGGGCTATTTCCACACCGGCTTGGCCTGCGTGTGTGAGCGTGTGTGTGAGTGTGAGGGTGTGTGTGTGAGTGTGAATGTGTGTGTGTGAGTGAATGTGTGTGTGTGAGTGAATGTGTGTGTATGAGTGTGTGTGTGAGCATGAGTGTGTGTGTGTATGTTGTGTGTCTGGGTGTATGTGTGTGTGTGTGTGAGTGTGAGCGTGAGTGTGTGAGTCCATGGGTGTGAGTGTGCGCGAGTGTGCGCCTGTGGGCCTCCCTGCGCTCCCACACTCCTCCCTGGGCTTCGATGGGGAAGCCAGCGGCCTCTCTGGGCAGCGCTGCACTGGGGGCCTCTCTCTCCTCGGAGCGCCTTCCGGTGGGTGGGGGGCCCCCCAGCCCCATTGATTCAGGGTCCCTGGGCGGTGGGCTGGTCCCACCCAGGCTCCAGTCGGAGAATCCAGGGCAGGGGAGTGGCCAGCTGCCGGGCGCTAGGGGGCAGCAGAGGGCCGTGTCTGCCCGGAGTCCTCCTGGAACTCAGGGGCCGCAGCCTGGTCCACGCTGAGGGTCCAGGGGGCCCCAGGCTGGGAGGGCTTCACCCTTGGCCACTCCCGGAGGCTGCTGTGAACAGAGGCGCCCCCCCCCACACACACACACCCGGGGTTCCCCAGGCTCGGGGCAGGACTTTCAGGGCCAGGACCAAGACCGCCCAGTCTCGCGCCATGGCCCCGGTGCCCTCTGCCGGGAATCCCCAGGCCCGGGACCCAGTGCTGTCACTGCCGTGTGCCATGAGGCCCTGGGGGCACCTGCTCTTGTCTGAACCTCGGTTCCCAGCTATCGAGGGGCTGACGGGCCCCTGAGTGAGGCGGGGGGTGGGGAGGCAGCCGGCCCTCCACGTGCAGCTCTGCACCTGCTTTGGCCTCAGTTTCCCTGTCCGCACTGCCCAGACTTTGTCGTCATCACCTGCCACCCTTGGCACCACCTTTTGAAGGACACGTTCTACACAGAGCACCCCGCCGAGCCCCGCAAACTCAGAGAAGCCCCGCAAACCCAGCGGAGCCCCGCAAACCCAGACGAGCCC